AGTGGGAGTAATCAATGCTAGATATGTGGTGGTCATTTGTAAAAATAATCCCCAGGTTTGGTGAGCAGTGCAATTAAAAAATTACTTGGCACCTGTTGTAAGTTGGAGGATGAATAATGCCCTGTTGTTGGTGTCAGTGGAAGGAAGAGTGCCCCATCATTGGTATCAGTGGAACGAATGGTGCCCAATCCTTGGTGTCAGTAGAATGAATAGTGCCTTATCAGTTGGAGGAATAGTGCCCTATCATTGGTGTCAGTGGAATAAATAGTACCCAATCCTTGGTGTCAGTAGAATGAATAGTGCCTTATCACTGGATGGAGGAATAGTGCCCGATCAGTAATACTAATGGGAGGAATATTGCCCTGTTGTTCATGTTGGTAGCAGAAAAAGTTTCCGGTCATTGCTGCCAGTGAGAGATATAATGCCTCAAAGGCCGGTTAAAGGGGCAGAAGACAACTTAGTCATTGCCCATTCAGCATACCATGTACTCTGGCCTAGTCATAATGTCTTTTATTTTTGTTTTTAGGTTGTACTGTGTATACTGTCTAAGGTGAGGTGATGGTTATTGTACAGTTTTCATTAAACTGGTAGATACTTCAATTTTGCTAATAAAACCATTACATGATTATCTGTTGGTGTACCGCCTTGTCCTTTATATAACCGCTTCCCTGTGAACATTCTGTTCACACTTTTCTGTTTCATGGGTTTTTTTTGGTTACTGGACAGTACCTACTTTACATAGTTGTACCCAAGAACATTTATGCCTCCATTTTTGCTTGTTTTCTATATGGTCTTCACATAAGCCTTTTTACGTACTATCACAATATCAGACCTGTAAAATATGGAAATGTTTTTTGCAAAAGGGATGAACCTGACACAGAAGCGTTTTTTTGGTGCCTAAGTGTTTATGCCTGCATGCTCTACTGAAAATCTGGCTCTGATTTGCTAATACTACTAATACTTTGACTTTACTTGCAGTAGTAACTTCTAAGAAAGTACTGTGTAGTTATTTTAACAGTTCTAATAAAATGTCATCAGGAATTACCAATGTACCCTTATACCTTTATTGGTGCTCACGGTTACTGTATATGCAAGTCATAAAAAGTGACCTTTAACTTGGTGAAAACATATAAGACAGCTTTTTTCTGAATGTGTGATTTCAGGTTGGTGAAGTTCCAGGTCGTGATCATTTATATTGTAACCATTTAAACAAGCTGTTTGAAAAGTCGTCTCCAAGCAGTGCTTTCGCATCATTTTTTTCTGTGAAAAGCGTAGGGATACTTAATTTTTGTTAGAATAAAAAAAAAATAATAATTAAACATATTTACCTGTATTTAAAGTTATTTTTAAGATTAGGATAACAAAATACATTGGGGTTGATTTACTAAAACTGGTGAGTGCAATATCTGGTGCAGTTGTGCATGGTAGCCAATCAGCTTCTAACTTCAGCTTGTTCAATTAAGCTTTGACAATAAAACCTGGAAGCTGATCGGTATCTATACAGAGCTGCACCATATTTTGCACTCTCCAGTTTTAGTAAATCAACCCTATTGCACCAGATCAAAATTTCATATGAATAAACAGTCTGAAGTTTGGTTATGAAGAGTAAAAATCAAATGGATATTTTTGAAAAAATTGGTCCCATGAATCATAAAATGATGTACATGTGTAGATCATGACATTGTTAGGAATAGAAATAAGCAAATAATTAATAAACAACTCAATCCTGTTCACCAAGCATTTCACTGATAGCTCAATGTCCAGTGGGCCCCTCCACAAAGGTTTCACTTTTAAAGCCACAAGTGGTTATGGGGCAAGGCTCTGCTCATACTGTGATGTCATTTGACTAATAAAATGAGTATACTTCCCTATTAGGTTGTGTCCTAATAAGAGTGTGTTGTAGAGCATAGTAATAAATCAGGCAGTGATGTCACCCGGGGCACTCTATTGTCTCCTAGGGGGTAAATGAAGGGAGCTTGCTGCCACTTTACCATTGCCAGCAGTCAAGAAATGTGTTCCCAGGGTTTCTTTATCTGTAGTTTACAGATTGCAATAGCTCATGCTGACATTTACACATACAGGTGAATCAGTCATACATATAATAAATATACACTATAATGTGTTAATGTGTGTATATATATATATATATATATATATATATATATATATATATATATATATATATATATATTTAGCAATCAGACTTTTCACAAAACAGCAGTCTTCCAAACCAGAGAGCAAGAGATATCCCTGAGATATCCCCTAAATGTAGGCCTAGAACTGGAGACATATTTACACCAAGAGCTCTACAAAACCTTTGGGCTCCAGGACAAAGGACAGAAATGATTAAGGTATGAGATAACAAATTGTTTTCTCTGTTTCAGTCATAAACCTTGGAGCCCCTCAGCATGTGTAGATGAGAAATCTATGTGACTCATACAGTATATTGTCCATAATCCTGTCAACCAGTGTTATATACAACATTCTAGTATACATTTAAATTTAAAACAAAGCAGAAATACATTTACAAATGTAAAAGTAAAAAGGACAATAAGGCCCCTTTCATACAAGTGGTCTGATTGGGTCTGCCTGTCTGTTTATCAGGTGGACCCAATCGGACCTTCCATTTTCCTCTGGGTCAGTTTACACCCAATCTGATCCAGCAATGACTGGTTGTTTGCCTGGATTGGATAGGAAGTCAGCTGGGTGTAAACAGACAGCCAGTTTGTTTACATTCAACTGCCCATAGAGCAGAGTCAGCTGTGTCCATGTCTGCTCTGCATAAGTGGATCAGACACAGACCTGTCATCCAGTTGCCCTACTCAGCTCAGCAGGGGATCAGAGGACAAATCCCTGTTATGAAAAATGGATCTGCTGTGTGTGATAGAGGCCTAAGATTGAGTTAAAACTAAAAGCATCCAATCAGGTTTCCAGTTGGTCTCTGTAGACATCAACTCCACTTTCACTATCATTTTCTTTTTCCAGTTTTATTGAATTAGCCCCAACAAGACTGTATTTACTAGTTATAACCTTTACATATTTAATATAATATAATAGTTTTCAATTAGCAAGGGCTGTTTTAGACATTATATTTTTTTAGCCCGTTGCTTTTGTATACGTTAATGCATATTTGATAGTTTTGATTTTAGTTGAGACTGCCATGACAATTTTGAGAATATTTGTTGAATAAACAATGAAATATATTTGTGAGAATGTAGTTATGTGTTCATGGTAATCTTTTGCGTTTAATAGCTTGGAAAGTCTATAGACATTTGTCTTTGCTGCAGGCAAATGTCACCCGTCGGCTGTTGGTACACAAATATGTATAATACGTTAGAAAGCTAATCTTAAATCCTTTGAATTATTTGCATGCATTAAGATAAGAGAACTAAACTTGTAAGAATAAGAAACACTTTTGTTTCAGTTAGTATTCAAATAGCCATTGCATTTCTGTGTTGTTGAATAATATCAAGCATTCAGTATATTTTAATAGCTTAAGCATGTTCTGTAGAGTTCATCGTCTTAATGGCGGACCCTTTACTTATATAAATATGTCTAAAATAGCATTCCTGTAATGTAGCAGTTGAGACAAACCAATTTTTTGCTGCCTGCAAATTAAAGAGATTTGCGAACGATCAAAAGCATTGGTGTAACCATAAAAAGGGTCAGGAAAAACACTTCTGAAGGGGCAGAGAATATGTACGTAGACACAACATGCCAACAGTGGAATCAGTGCTTGAACTGCAATGGAATTCTGGGATTGCTGTGCTGGAACAGCTGGAACTTACATAGGGGGGGAGGGAGCTTGAGACAGATGTATAGTATAGTTTTTTTTTAGCAAGGCTACACGCTCGGAGATTACTGCCTTGCTTTCCCTTGGGGTGCCGCCCTCTCCCCTCTGTGGTGTCACATCTGCCCGGGTATGGTCCACGCTGGTCATGGACACTTCCGGCTTCTGGCTGTGGCATTCTGAGACTCTCTTACCATCCACGATGGTCTCATGGTAGTCGGATGGAAATCTGCAGGATGTGGATGATAACGGTAAGCTCCAAGGAGCAGGACCCTCAAACCCCTCGTGTATTGAATCGTATTGTTACTGTACTGTCTCGTGTACTGTCTCCCATTATAATGTAAAGCGCTGAGCAAACTGTTGGCGCTATATAAATCCTGTATAATAATAATATTATTTGATGGGCTTTCCAACCTTCTAGCCATTATGAGTGTTTTTATTGTGGCTTATTAAACCGAGTTTATATACTGCACTTAGAAGGCGCCTCTCTCTTCCTTCCTTTTTTATGTTTGTTTTGTTTAAATCCCATACTTCTCTTTTAACCAAGTTAGAGAGAGTTCGCCTTATATCCTGTCTCTTTGACAGCCTGTCACAACAGGACAAGAAATGAGGAGAGCAGTTGTCACTGGGACAAGAAGATACATGCAGATATATTAACTTCACAGAAGATCTACCCCTTCCTCACTCTGTCCATATTTAAAAAATACTTTTGGATCGGATGGACTTTTTAACCTCCCTAGTGGTCTGATTATTTCAGATTTTTGGTGCTGAAAGCGGTACCATTATTTTGCATGGAAAATATGTAGTTTTTTTTATTGTAGGCTGTAATTTTTAGGAATAACTCACTGAAATCTGTCCGAACAAGAGTCTAGTAAACACCCCGGGTATGATAAAATTTGAAACACGAAATCATAAATTATAATTTAATAAATAATCATAAAGAATAATAATCTAATAATAATACATTTAATTCAATAATATAATCAAACCAAAAACACTGAAATTTGAAATATAGCGCCAAGTTCACACATCACTGAGCAAAGTTGCAAAATAGTTTTCAGTGTCTGATGACCAATTTCCCCCACGAATCATTATCACTCAATTCTGCAAGTGGTTCTAATTTACTATCGCTGTTCTCTAGCCGGTCTAAAACTGCTTTTGACCTAAAGGGACGCTTTTTGGACGCCATGGACTTTTCTAAGTTTCCAGGCAGAAAGAACAGTCAAAATGCAGACAGGGGACAGGACAAAGCACTAGGGACAAAATGTATGTGAAATGGTTTGAAACAGCAATGTTTTACTATGTAAAATTCGTTTAGAAAAAAATGACATTTTTTAAAATTTTCAAATTTCCCGCCGGTTCCGGCGCCCGTACGTCCCGACGTCCAAGGAACCGGAACACAGAAGCCGGATGCCGGCATCGGCCGGAGGAGATGGCCGGGGACGCTGCAGGGGACACATCGCGGGAGCGAAGGACAAGGAATAGGGTAGTAATAGGGTAATAAGTGTAGCTCGGGGTTACCGCTTTTGGTACTGAAATTTTACCCCGAGCTCCACTCGGGAATACCACTAGGGAGGTTAAAAAAAATGTATTTTGTAATTTTAAAAATATATTTTTAAAATTACAAAATACATTTTTTTTTAAAAAGCCCATCCCGATCCAAAGTATTTTTAAATATGGACAGAGTGAGGAAGGGGTAGATCTTCTGTGAAGTTAATATATCTGCATGTATCTTCTTGTCCCAGTGACAACTGCTCTCCTCATTTCTTGTCCTGTTTTGACAGGCTGTCAAAGAGACAGGATATAAGGCGAACTCTCTCTAACTTGGTTAAAAGAGAAGTATGGGATTTAAACAAAACAAACATAAAAAGGGAAGGAAGAGAGAGGCGCCTTCTAAGTTATAAATATATAATTGCAAACCATCTTTTGTCATCTTAATGTTTCACTCCACTCATTTGTGTCATCCTAGAAGGCGTTAAATGCTTGATGAAACAGAAAGAGGGCACTAAGTATACATGGTGAAAAGCGAATGTGGCTAAATAGTCATACTTCCAAAAGATTTGGTGAGATGCACTTCACCTCCACCATCATCAGGTATTAGAGATATCAACCCCTGCTATCATTCCTCCCACACAAAAAAAGATGAGAACCTCTCTAATATCAACAAGAATGGATGCCCATCATTAGCAAATGATTCAACCCTCTGCCCACTTCTTCCTGATAGTAGGAGATGGAGTTATGGTACACTGCGCACACATACATTGTGCCTGATTCCATAGTCTTTTCAGACTGTGGCAAGATGCAGGCTGTGCTTCAGTAGGCGTATTGAAGAGGCAGGCTGTGATTGATCAGGGAGTGTGGTAGATGAACAATCTACTCAATACAGGCATGCTGTGTGACTGTACAGTGTCCTGTACCTCTGATTGGCCAGCCAAAGAATGAAAACTGACCATGCTAACACAGATCAGATTCTGTGCTTTGTGTGATCAGTTTAGAACAAGCGAGAAAGGTGACTGGCAGGCTCAACCAGGTACTTCAGATGGAATAAGTACATGAAAATGATAGAGACTATGATTTATAAAATACACCTGTGAATACACACATAGAAAAAAAAATATTTAGGGTAACATACATTGTATGTGTATGCATATAGATGAAGTTTTTAAAATGTGCATCAAGTGTCACCATACCTTGTGCAGTGAAGATGATCACTCAGCTGGTAATATAGCCTGTGTTTGATCTGCTTTATTGTGCATCTTTTAGATGCAGCATGTTCTATACATTTTCACGTCAGCCACTTTCAAAAGTATGTAAATGCATCAAAGAGCAGGATTTAATACACATACTGTGGACATGGAACAATGAATACATTTAACAAGTAGTGCTTTCTTTCAACTGTGTTTCAAAGTACATGGCTGCACTAAGGTTCATCATTCACCCGTACAAGCCATTACTGTGCATAAATGAATTCATTAAGAGCACTGCAAATCAGTATTGTTATCAAATGGAACTTTTGAGGCATAATCACCATAAGATAACTGACAAGATACCATTAGCTATCAGCTGTGCATAACAAGTCTTAGTGCTTTGTAAAGGAAGCACGTCACTCAAGAAATATATAGGCCGCCAGTGCTGACATCCTTCTAAAAATTAAAGCGGCCTAGTGGTCATGCTGATTCTTGGGATTCATTGCTGCCTTCATTGGCAAGTTCACTCTTCCAGCACTGCATACCCGTGAAATGTATTGAGGCCAGAGTCAACCCAAGACAAGGCATTTTTAGAAGTAGGTCAGCAATGACAAACCTCTGTATTCCTCTTCTGCCAGGTTTCCTTTCAAGTCACTTTAACACTGTCAGGAACCGCCTGGCGGTACCTCTAGCAGTCCACAGGACAGGATTCCCCAGAGCGCGTAGTCTAAGTCCCAGTCTGCTTGTTCACCAGGGCCCCTGATGGTGGGGATGGACTTAGAGCAGACAGTGACCAGGTCGCGGCCCCTGAGTACACCCGCCTGTGGTAGAGGGATCCACCAGTGGTGTATGCAGGTAGAGAGCCTGACATGAAGAGGCGGAAGGCTGGAGCAGGGATGACTGGATCTGTGCAGGATGGATGGATGGCAGAATAGTGAGCATGGTCAGACGGGCTGGATCGGTAACAGTGGGGTCAGCGTAGTACAAGGCAGCAGGCAAAGAGTAGTCAGGTCACTCGCCGGGTGCGGTAACAGGAGTTCAGATCAAATAGCGATATCTAGAAGAGAAGTCAAACGAGCCAGGGATCAGAGCAGGAGAAGTCAGCAGAGGTCAGGATCAGGCAGGGTCAGCAACAAGTCACAACAGCAGGTATACAGGAACAGGAACACAGGATGAATAGACCATACGGCAATGAGAGTCTGTGCAGGGCAGGTTTAAATAGTGCGCCCTGCCCTGTCATTGGTGCCAGGCGAGCGTCCGCGATCGCGAGTGCGCATGCGCGGCCGCCGCCGCCCAGGTCCTAGTGCCCACCGGCTAGAATGGATCGGCATTCTGCACATGCGCAGACCCGCTTGTCGCCGCGATCCCTGACAAACACATTGTCATTTAATTAAGAGAACATGCCACTTTGTCCATTCCCAGTAAGTTTCTCAACCTTTTCAACACAGAGGATTCCTTGAAATAACTTTCCGGTCTCAGGGAACCCCTGCTAAAAATTCCGATATCCACAACTCATGATACATTAGTGTGATGGTCAGTGGGAAGAATGCTCCTTATGCTTGTGGTCATTGGGAAGAATTCACTACTTATAGATCTCTAAAGAGATCAAGAGTGTGAATGGGAACTTCTATGAGAGGCAGACATTTCTTATTGCTCAAGGAACCCCTTGCAACCTCTGGAGGAACCCTGGTTGAGAAACACTTCTAAGTCCACCCCTCCAACGTCATCATTGATGCGTTCCCGCACAACTTTGTAGCTCCATGACAGTCATCACAAATACCCTGTTCCTTGGGATATGGGGGAGCCTGTGAATCGTTAGTGTTGATTGAAAGAGCTTTGTTCCCCTTTAAAGCAGTATTAAACCCAAAAGCAAACACTTATTACATTGCAGCTTACCAATGTGTTATTAATGGCTGTGTTATTTTCCTTTATTGGCTATATTTCTTCTATTTTCATCTGGTGATTCATACAGCAACTCAGCTGTTTTACAACCTCTCCGGCAGAATGTCTCAGTTTACATGGATTAGACCATCCATTTACCGCTGACAGGGGTGATTAAAATGATCAGCTTTTATTTATTCATGTAAAACATTTATCCCAAAAGGAAAAGAAAAATGATTTATGTAACTGATTATAAAGTGTTAGCTGGACTTTGGCTTCAATGTGTTATTTGTGTTCAAATTTGCTAATACATTTAACACTCCCTTCCCCCCAGACTGACAATGCTGTTGTCTGCTGTGTCCTGGCTCATTCCTCCAAAGTGATGTCCCACTAATACAGGATGTGTGTTACTGGCCAGATCACCAGGTGAACACAAAGAAACAAAAGCAAAAGAAAAGAAAACGAATGCAGCCACCACATCTAATGATTAGTAAGCTGCAATATAATACATTTTTGCTTTTAGGTTTAATACCACTTTAATAGTATACTCCCCTTGGTTATAGGTGTAGGGTGAAGATAATGTGATTACCAGATAGTTTAAAACACAGGAATTCCAAAGCAGCATGGTAATGATATTGTGGGCTCTTTATAAGGTATTCCCTGTGGCTTCATTGTGCCTTGTGAAGCAAGGCATATATACTTTGTTCATTTAGGCTGGTCATTTATACAAATATGCGCTTGACTATACAAAAAGAGGTCTAATAGATCATGTGTCAGATACAATGCAAGATGATTCATTTGAGATTGGACACATTTTGCAATAACTTTTATTCCTTTTGAATACCTATATTTTGCTCATGCTCTCCTGAGGAAGTGTTTTTTCCATGAAACGCGTAGAGAGTTGTTATATAGCCAAGAAAGAGATTCACAGTCTGGGTTACAGACACATGAGAAAGAACAGCTTTGAAGTGCAATCCACTAGGGTTAAAATGCTGTAATAGATTCTACCAGCATTACAATTAATTGTTTTTTATGCATGATCCTAACTGGATGTATAAATAAATTATTGATTTTATGATACAGATATTTCCATACCTTTAAAATCCCTAATATTATTTTTAGAATATATCTGTTGAAGTAGCAGGGGTGTATAATCCTATCACAGAGAACGATTCATAGACAGTCAAAATTGACAAAGTTTATAAATTCCATAAAATTCAAGCAGCATATTTCACCTGAGTGTGTGGAGTGTCTCTTGTGCTGTGATAGGCTTTAGTGATGACAGCCTCGGGGCTGTGCTCAGTACTATGACAGTGAGGGTTGGGTTGTTTGACAGTTCAGTTTGACAGTGTTTCAAGTGATTGTTTTTGTAGGTCAAACGCTCTGATTGTTTGCAAAGAGTTCACAGAGGAGCGCTTAATTTTTCCAATCTAAATATTATTTAGAGCTTTGAAGATAAACTACATTTTTTATCTGCTTCTGTTGACATTCATGGGAACCATAATTTACTGTTCTACATGACTTGTGTCTGTGTACTTGCTTTTCTGTATAGTATGGTGGCACCAGATTCTGCTTGCTTGTTTGCTAGCTTTGTAAATATATTCAGCTATTCACAAACTCTCTATAAACCAAAAAGCAAAAAAAAAAAAAAATTGCTCTTGCCATTGTACTTGCAGAATGAAGTAGGCCCCAGAATATTTGGGTATCGAACAACCCAGCGCTCCACCTTCCATTAAACCAATGCCCAACTGGAACTGACCAACAATGTCATGACTACTGTAGATTCAGTTTTGAATAGATCAGTGTATTTGGTGCATTAAAAAGTATAAACCATTAAATAGACATAGCCTTCCCAGCAGCCAATTAAGTTATAATCACACAACAAAACACTTTAACCCGCCTATCAGCACACAGTAACATTGTGGCCTCATTTTGGCACATTGTAAACCTCCAGCAGCACATTTTATCATTCCACCAGCACATTAAACTCCACTATCAGCAT